AAGACAACTCCCTCCGCCGGAAAAGTCATGATGACTGTCTTTTGGGACAGTGATGGGGTCATTCTTGTGGATGTGATGCCAAGAGGTGCGACCATCAATTCAGAAGCGTACATCAGGACCCTGGAAACCCTCAAGAAGCGTTTCCGACTAGTTCGGCCTCACAAGCATCCAGCAGAAATTTTGTTCCTGCAAGACAATGCATCCCTCACACAAGTCTGAGAACCCGGGAAGAAATCACCACATGGGTTGCACGGTGCTGCCCCATCCACCCTACAGTCCAGATCTGGCACCCTCCGACTTCCATCTCTTTGGGCTACTTAAAGATGCTATCCGCGATACGGAAAGGAAGTTTATATATTGGCTTTATTGTAAATATTTCCTTTATACATGCTTCACAATTAAGATAAGTTTGATTAAGACATTGATTATTCAACTTCAATTAGTTACGCTTAAGATGGGTCTGTTGTAGCTGAATGTAATGTAAGGTAATGTAATGTAATGTTTTATATGTAATAACAATGCTAAGTAAACAGATGACGTTTCCTAGGTAACAATAATGCCGAGTAAACAGATTACGTTTCCTAGGCAACAATAATGCCGAGTAAACAATTGACGTTTCCTAGGTAACATAACAATGAAGTTACACTTTTTCGTTTCCCAGGTAACATAACAATGAAGTTTGACATTTCCTAGGTAACATAATAATGAAGTTACAATTTTTCGTTTCCCTTTTTCGTAACACTTTTTTGCCGAATGACACTGACCCTAAAATATAGACGTATTTACGTAAAAAAATGTGGGGCATTATTTAATGAGCGACCCTCGTATGTCGGATGTTCTGGTTTCAAATATCTCCTAGTTTACCGTCTATGCTCACTGAGGTCTTTGTAGTTCTCCTAAGTCATTCCAGGCAAGTGCCTTCTAGGACACTTTTAAGTAGGCCTCTACCGTCTCTTTCGAAATCCTTACTTGCTAACTATTCATTATCTACCCATCTCATTGAATGCTGAGCTATGTTAATAGCCCGAGAACCAAATAACACAGTTCTAACGTGTGTCACTACTATTGATAAGGTAACTAGGCTGCTGGGCTGGAGTTCCTCCAGCCGTTAAACAATGCACAACTGAGTCTTCATATGGTTTTATCGCGAGAGGGTTTATATGTAAATAATGTTAATATCAGCCTGCCTTTTAAATTAGGGGTGAGGCAGTTACATTCGTCGTCCATGTTTCTAGGTGTACAAACTTCTGTTACCCGTACATAATGATGAAAGGAATTCAACCAATCTTGATAATAGGCGGTCTAACGTGACCGAGTTACTGTGGCTTCGGTAAGAATTGTAATTATGATGGCAGTAGGGTTGAAATTTATTTCAGTTTATTTATTATGTGCTAGGCAACAGCTGAAAAGCCAATCACAGAGACACTAAAATAAAAACAGAATAAAATGGAATATAAACAAAAATAGCTATAACAAAAGATAATATATATTTTGATTAAAATTCTGAGTAATATCAGCAAGCAAAATACAGCCTTTATTAAAGATATCAGTGCTCCTACAGACTGCATTGACAACAGAAATACATGTTGATGAGGGTCTGAAGACAGGTTTTGAAATCACGGTGTACAGTAGAAGTAGCGTAGTTAATTATAACTTCTAAAACAATGATGGTATATTGCTCAGTAACAGTGCAATATCTGCATGTACTTATGAATAAATTTGGAACAAGTACAGATGTTATAATCAATCCCGGGCTGCTGTTTCTTCGGAATCTACAAAATCAATCTGGCAGTAATACAAGTTTTTGCCGTGCAGCCATCCTGACAGTCGAAAACGGAATGTCTGCCATATCGTCAGAAAGATCTGTTGTAAAGAAGGAAACCGATAAGAAATATACACAGCGTGTGGTGAATACGCAAGTAAGGGTGATGCTTGTGTGGAATAACTGGTATCATATCGAGACATCCTCGAAAACATCTAGAGAACAAATTTTGTAAAGTAACGCAGGAAACGATCAGGTTGAAAAAGGCTGTCTCTGTGTCTCTTAAAGTGTGCCTCATGTCATATTAGGCTGAGTATTTGTGCACATAAGCGACGAGTAATGCCCCTGATGTATACATTCGACGGTTGTTTCAAAAGTCAGGTATACCGGCACAACATGCGATAAATGTAAGCGTTTTATATTCTGTTATTGAGGCGGTATGAATACGTATTTGAGCAGCGACAAGTGCATTAATACGTGTTTGTGACATTAATAAATGACGTACTATCATTCACGTATGTTTATTCCGATTCTTTTGTTACATGATACCTATTTATAGTGAGTTTGATTGGGCATTGTTACGCATGAATCTGCTACGTATTTGCGTCAAAATCTACACTGCATCAATTTTGCAAGAAACAATTCTTGTGGAAACATTATGTATTTTAGACGTGTTATGATGTACTATACTCATGTAAGCACTCTTTATGTTATATGGGGATTGCGTGAGCGCGTAATATCGTTATTGGAATGTGGTCGTGGCCGACGTTGCTCATCCTCCACCTCACGACTTTGATGCCTTCGTGCGAATTTATAAAAAGCGATAAGGCACAATAGAGTATGAATATCATTAACTTACCTGTGGCATGACGTCCATACAAAATTTCAATAACTTCTGAGCATCCATTCGCTTTTTCCAAAATTCGTGCGCAGGAAGCCATTTTGCACTGACCGAGAATACCCCGTTTCGGTTGGTTTGGGTTATATGTTATGTTAGGTTAGGTTAGGTTAGTGGGGCAACTGCGCAGACGTTGTTGCGCAGTGCAGTCACATGACGTGCGCATATGAGGGCACCTTGAGCACGTTACTGTCAATTGTAAATTATTGAACACTCAAATGCATTTGACGGCACCTTGAGCTCGTTATGATCAATTGTAAATTATTAAACTCTCAAAAATTCGTTTCCTTCACTTTAAAAAGAATAATATATTCTGGGCTTCACTTGCATACCTAATTTAAACTTTTTACAAGGATATTAAATTGGAAACATTCTTTCAGCAATTTCAACATCTACACTGCATAAATTTTGCAAGAAACAATTCTTCTGGAAACATTATGTAATTTTAGACGTGTTATGATGTATTACACTCATATAAGCACTATTTGTGTTACATGGGGATTGTGTGAGCGCGTAATATCGTTATTGGTAAGTGGTCGTGGCCGACTTTGCGCATCC